TCTCTTGTTGTTCTTTCTTCTCTCTCTCTCTGTTCTTCAGTGTCGTGTCTTTCTCTGTCCATCCGTCTGTCTCTGCGTCAGCTTGTCTCCCTCCCTCCCTCTCTCGCTCACTCTGTCAGATTTCTTTCTCTCTGTTGTGAGTCCGCAGCTTCCTTCCCTAAATCACTTGTGTGTCATTCTTGCGTGACGCACCTGTACTGTAGGTGCAAACTACATGTGCATGAATCGACCACATACTTTGCGTGTGTGTGTGTGTGTTGTGAACATGGTGAAGACCAATTAGCTGCTGTATAACAACTGGGTTATGCACATGGTCACGCAACAGGTGCTGAGACACTGTGCACCTCGTTCACCCCTGATCTTGGCATGAACATACACAAATGCACACACACACACACATGCACACTTCATCACTGTCTCTCTGCTTCCTACTTTCTGTGGCGGCCACCTGTTTGCTCCTCGTTTCTTAAGCTCTCAACATGTGTAGGAATGACCTCTTTGATATGTGTAACACAGTATGCACGCATGCTTGTATGTGTGAAAGTTTATGTCCAACATGTGTCCTTGCATCTTCATCTGTGTTCGTCTGCAGAATGTGTGCATCGACATGTGCATTGCGTGTTGACACAGAGGGGAAACCTGATCATGCATTTGCAGCCGTGCTAATCTTCACTGTTCGTGTGGTTACATGGGGACGTGTATGTGTGAAGGTTGTCACAGAACATCTGGAGGATTTTCACCACAGCTGTGGGATATTCTGTGAACCCTGTACGTTGTCATAGGTTCATGATGTTCCCCGATAGACCAGTAGTGAGACACATGTTTGAGCACACAGTCTACATTCAACAGGGTTCTCACAAAATATAAATTGAAAGTAAATGCAAAGCAACAGCAGCCAGGCACAAAATGTTGTAACTCCTGAACCTTTGCATGTTTTACCTTTTTTAATGTTCCATTTTTCAGGAGCTGTTTTGTCCTTAACAATAATAGATAGTTTAGTGAGTGGCTAGAAGGAAGCCACTTTGAATAAAAGACATCACAGACCAATTAGCAGCATGAGAGAAAATGGTTACCTGGTGTCTGATGAGACATTCTTTGGGTAGCGATGGAAACATCACATCAGGAACTTCCCACCACCAGGTTAATATTTCCTCTGCGGTGAAACATGGTGGTGGCAGCATCGTGCTATGTGGGGCCTCTCAGCTGCAGGGACAGTGACACTGGATGGAAAGATGGAAACAGCTGAACACAGAGATTCTTGATCTTAAGTGCGTGTGGTCTGATACTTTCATCACAACAATGACAGCACAAATCTCTAACCGTCCTTGAGTGGCTCAGCTTAGGTGCAGAAAGTTCTTACTTTTTGAAATCTGGAGAGGTTAATTTTACAAATGCAAAAACAAGCAACTGAATGAAGGTGTGTTTCACTACAATCCTCAAAGACTAATTCATATAGCTGCAGTAGCTCTGTAGTGGTGATCCGCTGGTGACCATGGTGACCTATAAGAATTTATTAGTTGTTGAAAGTTGATGCCTTGGGTCGTCCCAAGTGTGTGAGTGTGCTTTTTGAAGACGATACAAGCTGTGGTAACCCTTCTGTTTACGATGTCACCCATGGAAGCAGAAATGTAAACGGGACTATTGTGTTTTTTTAATGAGTTTGTGCTTTGGTAATTCTGTGTGTTCATCTAACTATGTGGTCAAATCATTTTATCAGTAAAAGTCCCTTGAAGATCCTGAAGGAAACATCTAAAAACTAGAACGTCAAATAGTCCCTTAAATTCAATCAAGCTGCACCAAACTGCACAAACTCAGAAATATCAATCCTCTAAATACGCTGGAAATTGGGTTTGTCCTTGGCCCATGTTCCATCATTCCTGGAAAGCTAACAAACTAACCAGCAAACTGACGGGTTAAAAACCCAACCTCCTCAGTGGAGGTAACAGGTGTAGAGAAGTAACTGAGGTGTGTGGACATCACAAGTATAATCAAATAATATCTGAATATGTGTGAGAGCAGATGAGATTCAGCTGCTGCAGGACTGTATATTTATAATGCAGCAAAATGATAGTAGTCATGTTTGCATCCAAATATAATGCAAATCTTTCTGGGTAAATCTTTCAAAGAAGGAAATAAGGAAAGGAGAACCGGAGCAATTTGCATTTCCACCCACTGCTATTATGATAATTTTACGAGCTTATTCAACGAGCTAAAGAAGTTGTTGGAGTCATCCCTCCACGCAGGTTCCATGAAACTGAAAAGAGTTGGATCCACGTGTTTTTCTGCGGGGAATTAGGAAGCTCCGCCACCACCCAAAATACAATCAAACCACACAGTTGTTTACTCTGTTGTTTGTGGAATGATAATGGAGCCAAACCGGACACGGTGCTGTGGAGCTAGTTCTGCCTCTGAGACATGAATCCCTCTATCAGACAAGACATGTCTGCACACCAGGTCATGCTCCCTCTGAAATTACAAGTGTGTGGGAGAATCACCTGGTGTGTGTAAATGTCTTGTCTTCTGGATGTCATTGCTCCTGTCCAGCAAGTCTCATCCGGTGTGGATGTGCCGACTTTTGCATTCTTTCTGAGAAATCTCTCTAGAACAAGAATATTTTTTGCTAGGGCTGAGTATCAAACCAAAATGTGTGTGTCAGACTGAGTATCTAAAAAAACAAATGAGTAAGTAAAAAGTACTTAAAGTTGGCTTTGAACGTCTGATAGATGCATTGTCTTTCCTGTAAATTGACAGAATATAACATTTGAGTAATTTCTCTTTGGTTTTGTTTATATTTAAACTGAAAACTCTTCAATGCTCTCAGCTCAAATATTGCTAGAATGGGCAGTTTGGAGGAACTTCTCAGTTTATTCTTCCTGTCAATACATTCAGGGATTAGAGGAAACAGCTGAAAGTTCATGGAGACGGAGAGAAGAGGAAAGAGCGAGACATGGAAGAAATGGGGGAATAGGATGAGGCATTGAAAGGTTCTCTGATGGTGAGCGAGGTGTGGGAAGTGTAATGAGGTATATTGGATCGCACCGATGCTAAATTTAGCCCAGAGTAGTGTTTCACCGGCAAAGAGAGCGGGGGGAAAGAAAGGGAGCGGAGTAGAGGGCAATGAAAGAAGAGGGTAATGGAGAAACAAGTGATTAGTGCAGAGTAGAGTTTCACCTCGGTCCAGAGGGAAAACAGGAAGGAGAGGTGGAAAGAGGTGATGACTCAGGGGCGAGGGGGGGAGGGGCCACAACACACTGAGGCGGCCGTAATGGAGGTCAACAGCTGACACACAACTCGCGTGTCCCGATCAAATCAATTCATGTGGTTGTAGAGAAATTATGTCCCCACTCTATCATTTTAGTGACCTATTAGCAAACACATCGCATGACAACACCCCCCACCCACCCCCACACACACACACACACACTGTTTATCTGGTTTCACCTCAGCTAATCTGTCTCTTAGTTTGTGTTTGTGCTCTTTACTGACAAAGATGGTTCTGCATGGTCTCAACCTGGCTCATGCCTCATGTGTTGAACATTGAGAGAATGTATTTTGTGATGTAAGTAAGTTATGTGGTAGTAATGAGAGGTCAACAATGAGCCTGCACCTTCATGATACAAGATCTTTGACGTTTGTATAATATTGGTCCTGGTTCCAGAATCAATAGACCTCATATATTTAGTCGTAACCTGTGCAGGTATAATCTGCGGTATATGATGGAGTCATGTGTATGTAAAACATTAACAGCTGTTGCTTTTTCCAGGAACCCAGTCTGAGTAAATGAGAAGTAACATTTTAACGGCCCTATCCTAAATTACGTTTATGACACCACATGATCTAAAGCTCGGAACAAAGTAAATGTTGATTAGTGGACCATGAGATTATTTTGTCATGTTTTCTTTCTTTCATCTTTACAGACAATTTATGATTCATAGTTTTTTTCATAGGCTCTTAAATCATGTTATGACAACGAGAGCGGTGGAGTTATGACCCTGCAGACACGAGCTTTCAGGACGGGTCGAGTCTAATCTGTGGTGACAAATCAGTTCTTCAGCCTCCCAAACTTACAGCTGCTCGGACCAGCAGGAAAATATAGTGTTTTACATTTAATAATAAAAGCATGAGCACCGTCCACCAGGTCAAGACACTTCCTAACGTGTTTGCATTCAGTTACAGCCCATTGTGTATCATGCTGCTCAGGTTTCACTGTCTCTCTGCTCATACACTGCGTCTGTGTGTGTCTAAATCCATCCATCTATCAAACTGTCTGTCCGTGAACCTGCTAAATTAAAAGCTGTTGAAAGGTTACAGCACCAACGGCCAACGTGTCAGCACCAGACACAACTTACCAGCTTGTCATTTGTATTCCTGGAGTGCTATTGTCTGCTGCTGATGAACTGAAGATAAGATACATGTATTTATAATTATGAGCCCAGTCCGGAGCTGGACTATTATCCACAACTCCTATACAGTGTAGATTAATAAATGCTTCATGATTCATTGCTTATCTGAGTGGTGGCGAATTTTATAAATTATAAATAACATGAATGGAATCTTTTGTGGATTTTTATGACTTTGGTGACCTCTGGTGTCCATACATATGTATTGTTTTCACTTCACGTCAGAAGCCATTGCATGAAAACGACTGAACGCTGGATATTACCCAGAAAAAGAAGGCATCTGCTGTGTGAAATCATGTATTATAAGGAAAAGATAAGGTTTAGCTGTTTTAGTGAATGAAAGAGATGAGACTTAATCTTTTCCCGAGGTGTCTCACGCACTTTTCTTGGAATCTGTCTGCAGGTGATCAATCTCAGAGGCTTGTTTCCATTAGAGCTGTTTAGGTCAACACGGTCTATTTTTAGAGCCGTTTACTGTCCCACTCGAGTCTTGTTCAATCAAGCACCTGCTGTATTTGTGCATGTCTGATGAGCAAACACTGGGTATTCACATTATCTGTGCAAATTCATTAACGGGTTGTTTTACCGATCGATCCGCAGCTCTATGGGGAGTACCAAGAGAACCAAGGAGGCTCCGGTAGACGGGAGGCCACGCGCCTGCTGACAGAGAGACAAATCAGGAAACACGGCGACCATCACCGCGGCCGCGGGAAGACGCGGCATGGACTTGGCCGCCGTGGTCAAAATGGATACCACAGTCGCTATCAGAGCAGACAGAGGAACAGGCGTCAGTCCAACATGGAGGCTGAGGCCGCTGATGAGCAAACGGCCGACCCAGATCTTACGTCGTCCATGAAGAAGAAACGCTCGTACTCCAAGTGTAGAGGTGAGAAGAGATTTTAAGAAAGAGATTCTTTATTAGACCCATTGACTGTAAATAAAGATGGATGACGTGTTGGGTCCTGAAAGTGAAGCTGAAGCGTCTCAATCGCAGTATAGGTCATAAACCCCAAATAAAACGATTGGTCAAGCACAGTCATCGGTGCAAGATGGCGGCGCCTGTATCCAGTATGTGATGGCTTGACTTCTGGACAGTGGGAGAAGCAGAAATGGATCGTCCATCTTTATTTGCAGTTGAGACATTAGACCTTTAACCCCTGTGATTTTTTTTTTTCAGACTGCATAGCACGTGTGCAGAGATTCCTTGTGACCAGGTTGGGAGAAGACTGGATCTTCCTGGTTCTGTTGGGCATCACGATGGCTCTGGTCAGCTGGACGATGGACTACGCCAGTGCAAAGAGCCTGGAGGGTAGGACTACCGATCCCAAGACGCAACTTCTGATTTCATGTTTTTTTTCTTAGCTCCAACAGTCCTGCACCTTTCATCCTGCTTGTCCCTCCTCCTCCCTCCACTTCATCCCTCTTCAGCCTATAAATGGATTCATGGGGAGCTGAGGGGGAACATCCCGTTACAGTACCTGGCCTGGGTTTCATATCCCCTGCTGTTCATCCTGTTCTCCTGCCTCTTCTGTCACCTGGTTTCTCCTCAAGCAATCGGTCTGTACCTGCTTCCTCCTGGTGTTTGTGCTCTCGTATGTCTCTGTTCTCATCCACCTGTGGTCACAGGGAGAAGACTATAAGGTGTAATCTGGGATTCTCATTGAAATATTTGTGTTCCAGTTGGTTGTGGACGTTTCTGGACAAAATTGGATGTTAAAAGGGCATCGATAAAACTTGACATCTTAATTTTTACAAATTTAAAACTAAAGAAAGGCTACAGAGTCTTTGCACTCAGAACTCCAAAGTAATTATTTCACTGTTTTCATTAATTTGTTGTCACGCTGATTATGAATCACTTTGTCGTAGATATGATTTGAAAAGTGCTGTAAAAATAAAGTATTATTATTATTATTACTATTATAAATGGACAAATCAGAAAGCTTAGAGATTAGAGGTTTTGAAAGTGGCTGCAGAGTTGTTATTATTCTATAATTATCTATTTCTTCCATCCGGTGGCTCTAAACAAACCTCCCCCTCTGTCTCAGGCTCTGGTATCCCAGAGTTGAAGACCATCCTGAGAGGTGTGGTGCTGAAGGAATATTTGACTCTCAAGGCTTTTATTGCTAAAGTCATCGGTCTGACCGCGGCCCTGGGCAGCGGCATGCCTGTGGGCAAAGAGGTGAGTGAACCTTGAAACAGCATCTCTGTAGTTCGGTGTTATAGATTTTGGTCGTATTCTTTATGTACATGATGTAACTCTGTTCTCCTCCCCCTGCTCCTCTCAGGGCCCGTTCGTTCACATCGCCAGTATCTGTGCTGCAGTTCTCAGCAGGTTCATGTCCTTCTTCTCAGGAGTTTATCAGGTAAGTTGATCTCCATTTTTTAAGAGTTTATTTTTTATAAATATAAATACTGTGTAAGATATTCCACATTTATACGTTGTGTTTCCATCGTCTCCATCCTTCCTCCTCCTTTGTGGATCAGTAGAATCCATACTGTTACACAGACATCCTAACAGTGGGCTGCGCTGTCGGAGTGGGCTGCTGCTTCGGTACTCCCCTTGGAGGTAAACAGACTTTTCCCTTTATGACTCATCTTCCCCTGAAAAGCACATAAGACAAATCTGTGTTAGGTTTGTTCATATCTCACCATCCCAAACCATAACACATAACACACATTAACACAAAATATACAGTAATAGAAGTTAATTCATATCTACAAATAAACACAGAATACTGAGTCCTCAGATATAAAACAAGTTATTCAAACATGGTAAGTAAGAATTCTTATTTACACCTGAGAAGAAAATAAAAAACTTGAGACTCATACAGTACAAATACGGACTCCAGAATGCAAAGACAGAAAAAGAACGATACGTGAGCTCTGTTCGTCACCAATGGTGTTTTTCTTCTTTCTCCACCAGGTGTGCTCTTCAGTATCGAAGTAACATCCACGTACTTTGCCGTGAGAAACTACTGGAGAGGATACTTTGCTGCCACGTTTAGTGCCTTCATATTCAGAGTCTTATCCGTGTTTAACAAAGACGCAGGTATGAAGATGTGACAGTCGATGTAAATATTGTGGGGGATTTGTGTGAGACACTGGACGATATAATGTCACCGTCAATACCAATCATTTACTCTAATTTAATGTACTTGGTGTATATATCATGCATTTTCCACTAGATGGTGTCGTCCTCCATCATGTAGCCACACAGGGTTTTTAATGCCTGACTTGGTTTATGGAGAAGTTTCATAAGAATACTTAGTATAAAGGTCTTGACAAATAATAATTCACCGTGTCCTGCTGCTGTGAATAAAATCCTGTGTTTGATTTGTTTTTAAATGCTCAGCCACTGTCCTGCATTTACGTCTGTTGTCTTCGTCTTCCAGTGACCATCACTGCTCTGTTCAGGACAAACTTTCGCATGGATTTCCCATTTGACCTGCAGGAGCTGCCAGCATTCGCCATCATCGGGTGTGCGACAGGAAAACTGAGACCATGAGAAACATGTGGCGGTTTTTTTTGTGTTTGTGCAAAAACAAATCCCTCGTAGAAATGTGGAGATAAAAAGTCTTTATGTAAATGTAACATTTGAGTCTTCACTGATAATCCACATTAGTAGTTAACCAGTCACCTCAGGGGGTCGAGAGGAGAGATATACAAACAAAAGCACAGGTGACTGTATGACTGAATGTATGTAGACTGACTATGTAAGGACATACATGACAGACCAGTTATTGTATTTTTGTCATATCATTATAATATTCAGGCTTTTACTAATGATGGAGCTTTTTTTTTGTAATAACAAATGACACTTTTACTTGTTTTTGTTTTCACCAGTGATAAACTCACGTTATCTCTTCGTGTCTTTTTTGACTTATGCAAGGTTCAAATGTTTGTGTTCAGGATTTCCTGCGGCTTCCTGGGGGCGTTCTTCGTCTATCTCAACAGACGCGTGGTGCTGTTCATGAGACGACCCAACGCTATGACCCGCTTCCTGACTAAACAGTGAGATATTTCGGAGCACTGTGTTGGAAAAATGTATAAATTATCTTTAAACACAGAAATAACACGAAGTGACACAAAATAGAAATGGATTATGTTTTATTTCTAAGACTTGATGTTCTTTTTTATTTTTCAGCCTGTTTTAAATGTTGCTTCATCAGAGCTTAAACTCCTACGTACTGTATTTGCTGTGTAAGAGAATCCATCTGTTGATTTTTACTCCTTGAGATTTTACATAATATTGAATCTTAATGCTGATTTTCTCCTCCTCTGTGTTCCCTCCCAGTCGTCTTGTATTTCCTGCTGTGGTAACGCTGCTCATTGCCACCTTGACCTTCCCGCCCGGGTTTGGACAGTTCATGGCAGGAGAGGTCAGAGTTCATAATCTTCTTGTCGTACCTCTCGTGTAAACAATCTGTTTGTGACAGCGTAGTTAATGTCGCCCCACAGAAGCAAACTGCTGTAACCAATGAACGTGTTGGAAAATCCCACCAGGAAAGATATTCACGTGAAAGTACACCTGCGTCAAAACAACACACAACAAAGGTTTTCCAATACATCCATCCACAGGCCCGAGAAGACAGAACGTGAACAGCAGGGTGTGAGCTCTGTCTGAAGCAGATCTTTTGTCTCTTTGATTTGCTTTCGTTTAAAGTAGCATCACAGGCCAGACTGGATAAATATGAACCTGCTGTTTTCTCTGCACTGATCCAACATCACAGGGAGTTTTGTGCCTATTTAAGTCCGAAATCTTTCAAACTGTGACCTCCACCTGCCATTGGACTGGGCGGCGAGGAGGGAGATGCTATCAAATGCGAAAGGGGTAGAAGGAGATACAGTAGATGGCGGTAATGCACCTTGACGATGATTGCCACCTGCCAATAATGATTCAAATTAAATCTTTATTAATTCATCTTTAATGGTAAATTAAAAGAATTTAAAAGTGTAAAAGATAAAATTGGAGGTTCTGTAAGTGACACAAATGCCAAAGTCAGAGATATTTCAGAACATTTCCTGCAGCCCCTCCAGTAAAATGTCAGAATGATAATGTTTAAAAATTACAACACTTCAAAAATGAATCATCTGAACACTATCAGCATATGAATGTGCGTCTGTGGCCTGACTGTGATGTTAGTATCTGTGTTTCTACTTCATCGGTAGAGACGTAGCTCGTAGCCTTTGTGCTGTGTGATTACAGAGGGAGCTTCAAGGTGGAAGCTCAAACAGCCGTGAATCAACAACTCACCCACCTAGAGCGACGAGCTAATCATGTGTTTCACACACACTCAGAATGGACAACTTGTGTGTGTGTTGTCAGTGCACATGTAGCCCTCTGTTTCCAGATGTCAGTCAGCAACACCTTAACTTGGTTTTTTTTTCATTGTGCCCTCAGAGCAAATCTTTCACACCCTCTTTGTAGAAATGTCTCACACCTTTTCAAATAACGCACATCATCGTTTTAACACCAGAGGAGTGAAGTGAATCTAAATTTACTTCAGGAAAATAAAAAACGGCGTTGGTGCAGAATGTGGATCCTCTGTATGCGACAGACACTTTTCTCTCTTGTGAAAGGTGAGTTCAGCTTTTGAGGTATGAAATCCTTCCAATCCAACTTGATAGCTCGGCGCAGAGTGACAGAAGCCGCCGCGCAGCGACAGGAGATTAAATGCAACACGGGTTGTGAACCAGGCGTGAACTCACAACTTCAAAAAGGCACAGGAAAGCCTATTATAACATCCCGCTCTGCCGAGGCCCGCGGCGCAAGATCCTCTGCATTTAGACTCATATATATACGTGACGGTCTTTCAGGGCCTCGAATCAACCATAGCCAAAGCAGGAAGTGCAGAAGTAAGAAAATCTAAATGACGTGGGTGTTGTTTTTTCCCCTGTGGTGGCGTGATGCAGATGCAGGAGGTGCTGGGATTTGTGCCTGTGAGCAAATCCAGTCATTTATGCAAATGTGGAGCAAAACAGTTGAAGAGCTTTAGTCATTCGTGACTCATGTAAACAGAATGAGTCATTGGAGATGGCCAGACGCACCTGTCTGCTTCCAGCTCCACTTCCTGTCTGTTTTTATCCCACTTTACTTTCCTCCTCTTTTCATTTTTTTTTCTTCTAATTTTATCTTTCCTCCTCTTCACCCATTATCCTCCTCCATCTTCCTCTTCTCATCCTTCTTCCTCCCTTTTTGTCACCTCTCCTCTCACTCAGTCTGTATTTCTCTTTTCCCCTTTTTCCCCTTTCCACTCTTCCACTAACTCTTTACTCCCCTCTTTACTCTCCATCTTTCTTTCTTCCTTTTTTGTCTGCCCTCCCTTCCTTCATCCCTCTTCTTATCTGCTCCCACATTCCCTCTCTCCCCCCTGTGCTGCCTCCTTTTCTAACCATCTCTCTGCGATCTCCTCCACCCTCCCTCCCTCTTTTCTCACCCCCTCTTACCCACACCCACACTCTCCTCTCCTCACCTCTCCAGCTGATGCCCAGGGAGTGCATCAACTCTTTGTTTGATAACTTCACATGGACGAAGATTTCGGGATCCCCTCCTCCGCTCGGTCTGGGCCGCTCGGTCGCCTGGCTGCACCCTGATGTCAGCGTCTTCATCATACTGCTGCTCTTCCTCATCATGAAGGTCTGTGGCTGCTGGTTAACGTGTGCGACTTTGTATGTGTGGCTCCACATGACGTCAGCATCTTCCTTGACATCCAGTGGGTGTGTGTGTGTGTGTTTGTCCTTTTTTTCCTGACCAAGGTCAACTGTGCTGGAGAGCTGCCGGCACTATTACCTTTCTTATGATTTCTTTAAAGCACACGCACACACACACACACACACACACCCACACCCTGGAGATTAACCGACAGTATTAATCAGTCTCATTTCTTATTGTCAGTTAACAGTTAAACGGTTAAAAATGAGTGATCTCTAAAAATGTCTATAACCACTGAACTAAAACCTCCTCACGCTGAGCCTCATAATCTTCACACTGTCAATCTGTCCACCCCCAGGATCCTCCTTCATTTAGAAATGGTGCGAGGTGAGTTCATGTGTGTCAAACACGCTCCAGGCAAATATACTGACCCGTCGTCAGTCTGTTGTCTGCTGCAGAAAACTGCTCCAAGCTGTCGCCAATCTGCAGCTTCTCAAGAGCTCGAGTCGAGAACAGTGAAGACGTGAGAAACTGGGAAAACGGATTATTTTCACCATGATCACGAACTAAACTTTTCAGTCACATGGGAGTCATGTGACGCAATGTTGTGTTCTTGTATTTTTTTGTCTGTCATTCTCAAACTCTGGCAGCCGTGTTAGATTAGCCAGTGTTGTCGGGTTGTTTCTGCCCCAGTAAAGAAGTCTGGACTGAACCGTACGTTCTCAGTAATATTCCTCTGACTCGTCCTGGGATTTCAGATACAGACAAACCTTCATCTTCACCACCAGAACTTGTGGATCAACACTGAGCAGAGAAAGATATTTTGGAATGAACGAACACCATTTCACCATTTCACCATTGGATTCCACAAAATCAATTTAGCCTTTTCTAGAGGACCCCAGTCTGTGTTCCTGCACTGTCTAAAGTCAAATTAGGCAGAAACGTCCTATAAATAATCCCGTCAACAGGATATTAGAGCCTGTCACTCAGCGTCGTACACTTCATTGGTTTAGTCATGGTGCATCTCAGCCGAGCACAGCAGCTCCCTGTCGTGTGAACTTAATTCAAGCAAAGCAGAGAGCAGCTGGCTGCGAAAAACTCAACACCCTAACCGGTCCAACCTGTTGGGGTAACTCGTTAACGTAACTTTAACCTTCACAACTTACCCGCCTCTCTTACCCCTGTCCATGATGCAGAGTCCCAAACACGTCCACACGCCGCTTCTCAGATGCTTTGGTGTCGTGATCGTCGCTCAGGATGCTTGACAGCGTTCTTCATTTTCTCAACAAAATATCGTAATCTCACGGACCGATCTCTGCTGACAAGCTGACAGTGAGCGCCCCCTGCTGGATCACAAGGCAGACTTGAGGCTTAAACAGACCGTTACAGTCCGAATATGAACTCCGGTGTTCGAACAGGACTTCAGAATAAAAATCTACAGGTCTATCTCGTATATAGTTTTTATTCTCTGCAGTGATGGTGGAAGTTTGATTTAGATTTTTCCTGTTTATTCTGCCCAGCTTCAAACAGGTGTTCACGTCAGCCTGAAACTGTTTTTACTTCCACGTTCTCTCCGTCTTTATAGCACAGAAACAGATGGTGAGATATTTCCTCTGTTTATTTTTACTCCCATCTCCACACTGTTCTCTCTCAAACTCTGTATCCCAGTGTTTCTACTCCCATCTGTCTCAGCATTTCTGACACCAACGAAGGACTGTGTGTGTGTGTGTGTGTGTTGTGTTGTGTTCCTGCACGATTGTGTTCGAACAGACGACAGTGAGCTCGGTCCTCTCTTGTCATCAGAGTAGCTGCCACACAGTCAGAGACGTGCTAATGAGTTTTTATCTCGTACCACAATAATTATGCTCTCAAGCAATGATGACAAACGATGTATAGAAAAGTAATCTGGACTGTTACAATGGTAGTGTTGTGTTTCTTACCAGTCCCCTCAAATCAAAATGAGAAAGCCCAGCATGTGGTCTCTCTCTCTCTCTCTGTCTCTGTCTCTCTCTCACACAAAGGTAATCATTATCACTGATGAGCTGTCTGCAGTTGAGAACAAAGCGTATTATCATGCGAGCTATTTTGAAGCCACATTCTGATGAATACAGAAATTGGACGGTGTGTGAAATGTTTATGATTGTCCCACACGGTGACAAATTTAATCTGGGCGTCTCCCAGTGCAGCTACAGCGGCATCGTCTGCAGCTTCACTGGAGCAGCTGTTGATTAAGTGCCTTGCTCAAGTACAACCAAGGGTGATTGGGTTCCCTCCCCCCCAACCACACACACACACACACACACACACACACACACTTTCCACATTTTCCACTTCTGTAACTCAACAAGCCTTGACCAGATCTGGGTTTTGTTTTTCTCCTACACAACTACAAACACAGAGATGACGATCGCTCAAAAAGGCAGCGGGGACTTGACGTCGCCCCTGTTGCTATGCAACGCGTGATGTTGGAAGTGATCTAATTAGTATTAGGTGGGTCACCTGCCACAACAAAGGAGATATCATTGAAAAGGAAAGAAGACAACAGCAGAATCGGTCCGTTATCGTCAAGTGAAGGGATTGAGATGATTTCTCTCAATGAGAGATCCAGTTCAGACCATAAATAAAGATGGACGACGCGGCTCCACTTCCTCCCTCTTATTTAGTTTGGTCCATGTTCATAAAGTTTTGAAGCTCAGTTAGTTTTCAGTCGTGTATCATCAGTTCTGTGTTTCTGTGAATCCTCAGTTCTGGATGTCTGCCGTGGCCACCACCATGCCCATTCCATCTGGAGCCTTCATGCCCGTCTTCATACTGGGTGAGCAAACGCTCCTGTAGACTTTAGATAATGTCGTGTAGCCTGTAAGATTATGGATCATATAATGTGCATTAAGTGTAATGTTTTATCAATCAAGAGGATGTTAATGCCTCCACTCCAGCAGCAGCCAGTAGCTGGAGGCATTCAGTTTTCAGGTTGTCTGTCCGTTAGGAAGGAATTGAGGGGGTTTCTTCAAATTTGGTAAAAATTTGGCCTCATCTGAAGAACATTTTAAACATTTAAAATGAGAAGAAAACAGGAGCAATGTGAAAAATAAAAGCATCAGAGTTTACAGGTGAGGTCTGTTGCTCAATATATTAGTCACATGGGTAAATGTGAGGATTTTACAATTCCCGTCCGTTGTGTCGATAAGGTGAAAGTAGGAAAATTGTTTTCTGTTTGTCCTCATCTTTGTTTTTACTGAAGAGAATAATATTTGAATATATTAAATTTTTACTTCCCTCATGTAGGAGCTGCGTTTGGGAGGCTGGTGGGGGAGATCATGGCCACTCTGTTTCCTGACGGGATCGTGTTTGATGGCATCCTTTACCGCATCATCCCTGGAGGGTACGCAGTCATCGGTCAGTTTCCCCTCCCTCCTCTTAGCGGTCCCCCTCCTCTTAGTTTTACTCTGCGTCTGCAACTTTCGTTCCCTTTTCCTCTCACATCCAGTTGTGAATGGATGTTGACGGGACAACACCGAGTTACCAGCAGTATCTAGTGTAATGTAATATCAGGGTTGCTCATATTCAATTATCGGGAAGTAGAAGATATTGACATTGTTTTTAAATATCATTCATTATGGTCTAAAAATTATTGAAACCTGTGGAAACAATTATGAGAAATGTATTAACTCCAAATATCGATAATGACATTGGGCCACAAAAATCCATATCATTCGAGCTCCGCATTTAACCATCAATCAATTTTTTGACGTCATATTCTTGAAGCCTTACTGTCAAGTTTTCCACCTCCTCTCCTCTCACCCCTCCTCCTCCCTGCTGTCCTCCTCTTCCTCCTCCTCAACTGTCAACCCCCCCCCCCACCTCCCGTCAGCCTCTCTGGCCCCTCCAGTTGTCACTCGTTGTCATGTTGTCCTCGCCACCTCATCTTCCTCTTCTCCCTCGCCT